GACACGGTGTCCGCAAGGTTCGAGCAGGGTTTACGTCGTACCGTTGGCGCACCTCACCCTCCTCTTCTTCCCATCCTGTGAAAGAAGTATCCGACTTGTAGTCGACCACCTCTGAATCCTTGACGAGGAAATCCGTCGCCCGTGGCGGGCGAGGTGTGTGGTTCAGTTGACGAGGGCTTAGGATGTGCTTCCATGAAGCCGCGGACGTACTGTCTAGAGTTGCACCGCGTGCAGGAGCCGAAGAAATGATCTGCCCGCCGACGCCCTCGTAACCAGCAAGGCTGGGTGTTTTTTGCTTGATAGACTCTGGGCTAGAGAATGCGTGAAAATGGTCCTAGGAATGTAACGGCGTCTCAGACACGCGAGCCTCGTACGAGGCGGCAGTTAAATGTGTTTTGTGGGTACTCACAATTTGGTTGGGGATGTAACGGGGTTACACATACCCTGGTATCAAAAGGTGGGTCTGTGACCGTACAAAGGTGAGAATTACACAATTAGGTGTAATTACACAATGGTGTGGCACGCCGTAACAAGAAGCCACTACGTGGCGGGACTGCCAGTAGTTATGCATAATAGTTAGGTTTTACTATTTAATTCGGAAAACCTCAGGTTTTAGGTATTGGTGGTTCTGCCAAAAAAAATAAATATATACATTTTTCATCGAACGTAAGCGTATATTCTTCTTATTTTAAGGTTTAGGGTACTTTTGGAGGTAGCGGATTGCGATCCGCTACACACTGATTCTAGTATCGAACGTAAGGTCAGTGACCTTAGTAAGCTTCCTCTAAGCAAAGAGCTACGGCAGCCCCGCTGCACCAGCAAGTTATGGATCGACTATATGCAGAGCTCTTTTTAATCCTACTGAAATTGTGTGAAGCATTACAACTTTTAGACAGCTCCTCTTTACTTAGCTGTCTCAACGAAAATACCAACCACCCTTGCCCGTGACGGTGCAACACATCATACTGACTCAGACATTGGGACGGTCTACAACGGCTTATTTAATCCGGTGTTAAGCACATTAAACAAAATTTGCAAACAATCTGCTGTGAATTAGGGGCCTTGATCCGAGAAAATGGACACCAGCAAGTCCTGTTGGCGAGAAACTTTGTCGAAGAAGTGACTGGTTGTATACTCCTTGGTGACGGTTCACCTTGTAGCAGCACGATGATTCGTTTTATTCTAACGGTCCACAAAGAACACACTGTTGGTATTGTCATAAGCGTCTTCCAAATGACCAAAACATATTTCTGACCAATGGCTGCCGAAAAAAATTGACCAAGGCTGACGCATGCGGCGAGGGTCTTTCCTGTCGATACGTTTCGCACCTTCGCAAAATACCGCTCATTTATGTTAGGCCACTAGTGCTTAGCCACTCACTGAGTCGTGTGTCACTTTTCTACTGAGTGGTCTCACAATGTATACGCAGTTTTCGTTACTCGAGATCCTCAACTTGGGGCTTCGCCACACGCTCTGTATTGAATGGATTAGCGCCGTTGAATAGCGATACTTGCCACAAAAAGTGGCCAACGCGCTGTCAAATGTTTGAGTAAAGCAGCATCCAAGTCTGAAATAATTAAATGTCCGTAGCTTTTGCAATGCGCCGCATTTCGCGTCCGGCCTGAACGCTATACGTCTTGCTTTGCTGATGTAGTACGAGCGACGCGAGAGCGTATCCGCCATCACATTGCTGGACCGAGTAATACTTTTACTTGATCCTATATTTGGCAAAAAAGATGAAAATCTTATCATTTTCTGCAAGAAATGCTGTGATGATGTTGCTGAGCGTAACGATTATCGTCTGTACAGATTTTTATACAGGCTATAAGCCTAGTGGGTGTACGCTGTCGCTGTCAAGAGATCATGTCATATTGACCAGCCCCTTAATATGTTAGAAGAGTTCTTTTATGCCACATTCATCAAGGGACGCGTTTATGCCTATTGACATATTTGTGGAGCAAAACACAGCCTATAGCAAAAGGAATGCCTTCAAAACGATCGATCAGGGCTCAGAAGCTACGCTGTCCCTCACAGCCTAAGAGGCTGCCTCTTCTACCACACCATTACTTCATTTTACAACCATATTGGGGAGATTGGTGATAAGCTGAGCTATATCGTCGTCGTTTGAACATTAAATGGGCAAGTTGATCAAACAAAGCCACTTCCATCAATTTCTATAGGATATTGGCATTGGCCATTTTACAGTGTCCTTGACCTTTGCGGCATATGATCACAGACCATTCTTCTCATTGCAGTATCCATCATAATCCGCTCTACGATCGGGGAGCAGCATTTCGACGGATCACTCATCACCACGTCGTAATATTTCGTCAGCAAAGGATAGCGCTGATTCGTGCGGCTCTTGGAGGTCCGTCAAGCTTCCCACAGTCAAAGCTCTGCGAGATGACCTCATTGATGGACTCGTTCAAGGCGAACGATGAGTTAACATAATTAACCTTTTCATCGTGCGATCTCGGTGATCTTGCCGGCTTGCTTTCCTTGTAAACAACTTTTCGGGCTTAGTTTTCAAGATTAACGGAGTTTCTCGCGGGGGGGGGGTAATGGGAGGTAAAATACATTCTCACAACTACCTCGGCCATAAAAAGATCATACTACAAACACAGCGCAGAGGAGATTCGCTTCAGTTTGCTTTTCACACGTTCGAACAAGTCTTCTCACATAACTCTTTCTGGTATACGTCATATTGCTCGGGATCGTTTGCTTATGCTACAATGTTGCGGTGCCCGACTTGCCGCGCAACATAAGGCAAATGTCGAAGAGCTTCAAGATCAACAAACTTTGGATGTTAAAATCATCCCTGATCGATTTGAAGATTTATCGGTCCTAAGTCGGCTCCACCAAACTGAAAAAAAACAACCATCACTTTGGCTTTCGTGCAGAAACACACCCAAGTCTGAGTATCTACTAGAATATTTGGTCATGGAGTCTTCTCCAGTCAACAATAAAGAACAGGCATGTTAGTCTCTGATAGAAACCTCTCGCTTAAATCTGTCACAGAAATGCTGCCGGCCGAAGTCTAGCTATCTCGATCTCGTCGGCCGGATATCCTGCATTCAATGGAAGGAGTTGCGCCACCAAACTAACGGGGGGATTATCATGTGATGTCAGCCTCGCAGATTAATGTTCGTCAGTGTCATAGGTCTGCTTGGCGAAACAACTGAAAGAAAAAGGTTTATATTTTTCACATTGGTGTTAGCGAAGTCACCTCATTCACTTCGTTACTTGACCACTCTCAGCACGAGTGCTCATCAGAGTTTCTTGTCGATTATCGATGCGATAGCGCTACACAAGTAGAATATGAATGTATAGTGCTTCTGATAATTTACAGCGAAAACTTTTTACAACCCGAAAAAGAGATTTTCATACGATTTGTCGTACTATACAGAGCAGCACGCACGGTGCATTACTTATGAATAAACGCATCGAATCCATGCCTGAAGAGAACTCAAGAGAAAAATAAGCAAACACTCCATAACGTAGAACAAGAAATTCATAGAAAGCAGGGTGGCCCAAATTCTTATGTGATTTTGCAAAATATAATTTTGTGCATTCTCTTCATCAATTGGACCCCATTATGTGATATTTGACACAGTCCATCATTTTTTCGCCAATGAGTTGACCAATCACTGCATTTGTGGCTACTATGGTCACTACAAAGCCGTCTAAAAAGCAGCGTGGCAAGCTTAAAGTTTCTGTAGCCAAGGCCAAAGCACACGTCAAGTTTGACGACAATGGAAACCAAGTGTTGCAGAAAAAGCGTATGCGCGTAGCCAAGACAAAAAAATTAGATAAGGTAAAGGAAGGAGGCGGAAAGTCCGACCGATCTCCTGAGATGATTCAGCAGGCTAAGTACTACCTCGAGCAATGGCAGAAACGTGACGAACCGAAAGCTGCAGATGAGCTGCCTTGGAAATTTAAGGTGCGCTGACCCACAAAATGAAGTCATCTCTTACGTTGTGTCATATCGAGAGGATCGTAACTTGCGCTTTGTATTTTGTGACAAGCAGACAATCAAACAGCAATGGATCCTGCGGTGGATGTATGAGGCGGATGTCGTACCCAAGGCTATGTTCGCCATTGTGCTCAAGTATCTTAATGGAATTCAGGGTGCTGCTCGCAAGGTTGTCGGATCAGATCTAACATTGGTCTTCGTTATCGATACTAATCTCCATTTCAATTCCTTCTCCGTAACAGCGTGTGTTGGATTCGGCTCAAGACATTATCGACACTGGTGCTCCAGGTGAAGAGGGGGATAAAATGGCTGGAAATGAAACAGTGCTAAGTATCAAGCTGGCTCGGCGACGTTACAAGCGTGCCTTGCAAATAGCGGAGCTGCTGGCTTAATTCATTAATACTTTGAAGCATACACCAGGTTGTGCCACTTCGATTTAGCCAGACAGACCTGTGTTTTTAAAGCAATTGTTGCTTCAGCCCAATTATTTCGAGTGGGTTCCGATACGATCTGTGACTAAGTCGCAAAAATAATCAGCTGAGATGAGCCCATCTGGAGCATCAACCATGGCAAGTGGTTCGCCATTGAGTTGAGCTCGTACGTAAAATATCCCTTTTTCATCTTCTAGCAACTCTAATGCAAGTGCTGACGAATATTCGGGCCAATAGCTTATTTCCTTTGCAATACCTGCATCCATGGCTCGGAGAATTGACAACAGCGACACGTCATGTCCGCTATAAATAGTAATCTTCTTGCTTTGCAAATGATCCCACCTAAGCTTTTGCATCTATATATTCAGGAGAGGATGTAAGCGTCAAACACTCTAGTCACTTCGAACGTATAATAACCTCGTGAAGCACGTTGTGCATTAAGCGACCGGCCACAAGTTTTAATATCGTTCGATGCGAGTAGAACTATGGGAGCCACACGTAAGTATCTGCAACCTTCCTTCTTGAAAAAACATTACCTGATGGAAACGATATTTTAGGTGCCTTTCAGTGGCTTTGCCGTGCACTTCAGTACCAGAAATGAATGGAACGTGGTGAGCGCGACGGCAAATAAAGTAGTCAGCAGCTTGTAACCAGCTGAATGGAATTTGACCGGAGTCGACAGCTGGAAGGAGTCTCGACAGCTCCTGTTTAACTAAAGTCATTTCGTGCTCCCGAGCAGCAAATTCTTCGTTGTCATTCACCAAGTCCGATTTGATTCTCATAATTTCCGGATATATTTGATACGCTATTGACACCAATTTTCGCCATCAATCACAGTCATGTGCATCGTGTAGTTTTTGTCATCACTCACTGTTAATAATGTCTCGATCCGGAGGCAGCACACTTATTTGAGGTATCACTTGAGGATGATCCGTCAGCATTCCGCCTAGTAGCGCCTGTACACTTAGTTGAGTGCGTGTGTACGCATTGCTAAAGATCTGCATCTGCTCGGACGTGACGTTATTCAGTCCCACTTCCTCTTTCGCAATGAATCCTTGCTAACACCAACAGATTTATTAAAGAATTTATCGCTATCATCAAAAGTTAGTAGACACATCATCCTACCAGCCAATTACCACGATTCGTCATTTGTTCAATACCTCGAGTCGTTAGGTATCCGAATGGCCGTTGCTGAAACGAGGTCTGAGCTTCGCTGTTTGTGTGAACCTCATACTTGGAACGGAGTTGAGTGACCTGAGGTGGTAGAGGTAGCTTACGCCCCCAGAGCTCTACCTCCGCTTCTTCGTCTCGCGCATCGGTGCTTCCCCGAAAAATGTTTATCAATGGTGTACGGTCGCCATGACGGTGTATTACCTGCAGTTGGCGTAAACGCATTTGAATACTCATGAATGAATCGCCGTTTCAAAACCGACTATCTCACTTTGAAAAAACGTTCAAAGATATCGAATGTTGAGGTCTGAAAATAACATTAAACTATTAAAGTGTTTTCAATGTAACAAATAGTCTGACAGTATAATCAATTAAACGAGAAAAAGCACAAGGTAAGAGTTTATTCCGGGTACGTGCTTTTTTGCTGGGCACCAAGTGGTCCTTAACCACTGAACATGGCTAAGAAAGCCAGCGTTGCGAGCTCGACGCTCTCACTGAAAGACGCACAGCGATGCTTTGACAAGGTATACGCGAATGTTGAAGTTGAAGATTGAAAACGTCACTAACGTAAACATGTAGGAGCGTCAAGCGTTCTTGCGCGACCTTGAGACGTTGCGCCAACAGCTGATAAAGAAGGACCAGAGCGCTGAACGAGCGGCAGCTGTTGCAAGTGCGCACGCGATTCAACTCAAGCGTGAGATTGCTGCATTGCAAGCAGCATCAGCAGCGGTAGAAGCCGAACGGATCAAGGTCCACGAACAATTTTCGCACACGAGTTCTTTACTTGAGATAGCACTAGACCAACGACAAGAAGACCAAATGAAGCTTTCTTGTTTGAATGAGACACTCAGAATGATCGAAAAGAAACACGAGGAGGAGTTAAAGCTGGTGAAAAAGGAGGCAGCTTCCGCTATACGAGCCTCTCAAGAGGAACGCCAAGCATTGCGCGCAAGAGTCGAGCATTTGAAAGGAAAACTCGAACTTGAACGAAAGGATTGCAAAGACCGTCATCATCCAGTGGTGAACGAGCTGCAAAGTTGCAAGTTGAGGCTACAACTTATGGATAAGGAACTTCAGGATGCACGCTATCGTGAACGCTCTGGTTATCAGTTAAAGGAGAAAATGGGAGGTGAAGTCATGAAGTACAAACAGAAGGTAGCTGACGTATCGAAGGCGCTGGAACAAGCTTTGCAATCAAAAACTGCATTGAAAGGGGAACATGCTCTGGTGATGCGGCAGATGAGAGACAACTTGCTAGAGGTCTTGCAAAACCACCACCACATCAAGGAGCATTTGCTCATGATGCAGGAAGATTACAATGGGTTGTTGTGCTTACACACGTGTGTGAGACAGCAAAGCAAAGAGATTACGCAAACTTTGAAAGAAATGACGGCACGACACGAGCAAATAGTGAAAAGTAAGGAACAAGAATGTTGGGAAGTTGAGAGAAGGTGCAAAACTTTAAGTACTACGTGCTCAAAGTGTTGTAAGACTCCTGAGCAGAAAGAGAAAGATGAGATGAAAAAGATGGACGCAGTTCGTGAACAAACTCGGCTTGAGGTCACTAGAATCCTGGAACTCGAACGATGGGATCATTATCAGGAAGTCAACAATAAGTACCTTGATACGAACAAACAGCTTTTAGCTGCTATGGAAGAGCGCGAGCTGCTACGAGAAAATTTAAAATTAGTAACCAGCGAGTACCAGGAACTTGAAAGTAGGGAGAAGAAGGTGTGTATCTTGCTAGAAGAATCTCAAGCTAAGGTAGAAGAAGTGAGTGCAAAACGAAAACATGATGCTCGGGAGTTGGATAGAATGAAGAAAACGATGCAAGACTTGGTAGAAAATATATCAAGCTTAACTGCCATGGTACGATTACCCTGGCCAGAACTTAAGCTGGAAACTTTAAAAAAATGTCTGATGTGCAAGAAATCTTGTGTATGTAGACAGTAGACCAAAGTAAGAAGCTTCACGAGCATGAAACTGCTCGGCTACAGGAGGTACGGCATGATTTTACGAAAAACATAAATGATAGACTAACCCAACTTTGAGTATTCGTCAGCGTGAGCGATCGTCAGAGCAAATTTGCTGTCTTGAATCAGAGAAAAAAATGGTAACAGAGCATGAACAGCAACTCAGGAGTCGATATGAAGAGCTTGTCACAGAGTATGAGGCGCTAAGGCAAGAAAAAGCAAAGAGCTGGAATAAGATCGTAGAGGCACAACTGAGTGCTGATCGTTTGATAGAGGTAAGTCTTTGTACTTCATTTGGGTGATGACGAAATTTTGTTGCAAGCTTAACGTGCATATTTAAGGAACAGGCTCACACAATTGATGACTTATTGCAAGCAAAAGCTACTTGTGGTACCGGTCCCCCTTATGTAAAAGAGAATTCCACCCAGTGCGATCTGATTACCTCGCCTCATTCAATCACAAACTCGTTAAACAATGTGGTTGCTAGTTTGCGGCAAGAGTGCGAAACCTTACGGATTGAAATTGCCCAGCTTAGGACGAAATTACGAGATGAAAGTAAGTCGTGGCAGAGCAACGACGGACAATATAAATACGATCATGAGGTCGAGGTCAAAGGTTTGCAGTTGGAAATACAAAAGCTGCAAAAGAAGCTGAAAGAACAAGCTCTTACGATACATGAATTGACACTTGAAGAAGATGACAATGACGACAACGTTGTAAATGAAGTAGAGCAAAACGTGATGTCGACGGATAGCTGCACATCTTGGCCAACCATTGACAGTCGCAATAATCCTTTTCAAACTTATCAAAATGAATCGGGAGAAGAAGTATCATCTCAGTGTCAGTCTTTTCATGGCAAAACAGACTTACCAACTCGACTAGTTAGTCATAGCTTTTCTAAGATAAGCATGCCTCGACGTGTGAATTCGTAAGTAGCATTCTAAACCCTAAACGCACGAGCCAATTATGCCCCATAGCACACTCAAAGACTTAAGGCTAGAAGTTGTTTTGATGAGATCTGACAATTCGCCTACTAGTTCACACATAATTAAAAAAAATCAAAGCAAAATAAAAAAATACCAACATATAAAAAATAATGTAATGGTAGATGATGATTCGTAAGAACTCTTAGGCCCTATGCTGATGTGGCTGAGCGCAGCAGCATGCGTTATAGTGGTTGCGCCAATATAAAGATCGTGATGCGGACCAGCTCGACTTGTTGACTCAAGGGGACTATCTGTCCAGAAAAATAGATGCTAGGGCTGACAATACAGGTGCTTTTGGCCGGGAACATATGCGCGAAAAAGAAGGAAAAAAATGAGATAATATTCAAGCAGTTCAGTTAAGCTCTACACATTATCCATAAAGACGCTCAGTCACACAAAAGCATCATCTGATGGTTTGAATATCCACACTTTATCGGACTAACGATATAGTTGTTTATGCAGGAGGCGCTCTGCCTCATTCAGTCCGTACAGACTATACCTCAGAAGCTGTCCAGCTCATCCACGCTCTTAGCGTCGCGTGTAGTGAACTTTTAATTCGTAATGATGAGTTCATGTGGGACGGTTAGAAAAATTTGGATGCTCTCCTCCGTTATCGCCTATACATTTGCGTTTTGAAAATCACCACACCTGGCAGGAACCCCCATACGACGGTTGTCACAAAAATGAAATTGACACAGTCATTGTGATCACAGCGGTAAACACGAGGAAGAATTTAACACCGACCGTTGCCGCAGGCAACCAGTCGTGCTTTGTACCGTTCAATTTTTTCAAGGCCGTTCGCTTCTTCTTGTCCACCACTTGATATGCAATCGAAGTGCACCCTCGAGGGGCTTAT